TCTTGTGGCCAACCGAAGGTGCACATTGTCAGCTGACCTCTTTGGCAAGTTCACACAATCATTTTGTTTGTTTTGAAACTGCTGGACAACGAATGTTTTCTTATGGGAGGAAACCAAATTAGGTTTTTCTCCACTTTCGGCCAAGCGAAGCAACTTATTCGCTCTTTTGAGTCTATTTTCTTTCTGTTGCGGTGAAATTCTTGCACTTTTTGGAATTGCATTGGCTCTACCCCGAGCTCACTTTTCAATATTTGCCGAATGGAATATTGCGATATGTTCAGCTTACGAGCCATTTTTCGGCCACTGCGACGCGGGTTTCGATCAAGTGGCTTTTTATATTTTTCGAACCATTTCTGCTGATGTTGCTGATTTCTTCCGTCCACTTCCTTGACGTCGGGCTATGCTACCAGTATCACGGTAACGAGCGATGTTACGAGACACAAAAGATTTATTCGCATTTAAATGCTGGAGTGCTCTAACGATAGCCACTTGTGCTTTTCCAGCTAAATATAAAGAAATCACACTATCACGCTTGAATTTCATCACGAATAACTTTTTTTGCTGGAAAATTCTCACCAAAATGTTTTTGTACGCTTGTAAAAAATATAATTAGCTCTCACTGGAATAATTTTAGCAGCTGTTGGGCGAGTGGCTTAGAAATGACAGCAGTCTGAAGTTGGTTGCAGGTTTTTCATCTCACCCTATATTTTTCAACAAAATGATGTTATAATTATAAATCATATGACAAAAAATTTCCCATGAAGGCCATGGAGGTTCGTTTAGTCTCTTTCTTCATATTTGTTTAAAAAAATACACAATTGTATGATATGCTAGATGCTTGGCTAACTGGTAGCGTGACTAGAAGAATGAAAGACTACAAAACGAGAGAAGAGCAACTGAACACCATTATACTAAAAGCTGATATATCATCGTACATTCGTAGCATTTATAACGAACCCTTCCAATAATATTCCGTATTTTGATCATTATACCCTACAACACTATGTGTTGGGGGTATTATAAGTTTGATTGGGCCTAAAATTATGTAACACCTCGAAATATTGGTTTCCCACATAGGAAAGTATATATGGATCTTCCTATCTCGCCGGGATGAGGCTATCTAGCTACGTATGTCCGTCTGTCCATGTTAATTTGTAATCAAGCTACAGGTCGCAATTATGAACCGATCCTCACGATATTGAAAATGGTGGTGGGGTTATGCTCAGAATAGAAGCCTATTTCTTTTGGAGATGATCGCCAATTGCTTAGGGGTTGAAATGGAACAAATACTGAAAAAAATGTCGGATTTTGCAGTAGCTATACAGGTCGCAATTATAGACCAATCGACGCGGAATTTCGCATGTAGCTAGAGTTTATGGCGGGGAAGAAGCCTACCAATTTGGGTGGTCATCGGATAATATTTAGCGGGTAAAATAGACCATATCTTTTGTGTTGAAAAAATTCAACAATTTTCATTAAACCGCGAATATTTCAAATCCCGGCGAAATCACAAAGCCATAACAAGGTTACTTCTGATCTTTACATTGATGTTAACATCCAACAAATCGGATATATAGCAAAATATGTGCGATATATGTCTATCAAAGAAGATATGCTTGAAAGATCTCTTATATGTCGAGAACGGCTGAACTGAATTTTGTCATATTTTTGGCATATTTTCATTTTGAATTCAACATTTGTTAATATTTCTACAGATAACAAAACTAAGTAGTTAGGATATCATATACAGATCGCATTTATGGCCCGATCCTTACGAAATTTTGCATGGGGATAAGATGAGGGTCAGAATAGAAGCCTACTCTTTTTTGAGATGATCGCCATATATTTAGGGGTTGAAATGGACCAAAAAACTGCAAAATTGTCAGCAGATCGTAATTATCGCCCGATCCTCACGCACATTTGAATGGGGGTTACCGCACATTGCAAAAGCCAAGCAGTTTTGGATGACCATCCAAAAATATTCAACTTTTGTAGACAAAATACGAAAATGTCCACTCCAGTGACTCTTTGTAAAATTCACAAATACAGGAAAGACGCACTTCTGACTATTTCGTTAACGCTGATTTCGGTGAAGAATATAGTCAAATGTCTGTATCTCATATAGATGCGTTTCAGTCAAAAACCAATAATAAATGTTAATCTTTTGCCACTTCTGAGATATTATAGGTCTTTGGGAAATATTGGTTCCAGATCAAGGAAGACCACTGCCAATAAATTGGAAATGAGCAAATTAGTTTAAGTTGCTATTATTCTAAAATTAGAGAACGAAACCTGACGAAACCTGGTTTTCTTTTATTATTTGTCACAATATCTTGTGGAATTCTTTCGAGTATCTCGCCTATATAAACTGTATCGTTTATTATAGTGTTGTAGAGTATTCAACGGTCGGCCCCGCTCGACTGTAGCCTTTGCTTACTTGTTTTAATTTAATTTTAAAAAATTAGATTAATTTTGAAAAGTTGGAGATTGGATGAGTGTTACTAATGCCTATCCAAGTAATCGAATTTCTTTAAAGCAACTATCCTACTACGGTCCTGTCGTACTTATCTAAATTTACCTAGAATTACCGGGCAAAAATGCTACTGCGTGCAATCCAGCTTAAAGCAATTCAACATTGCTCACTTTCATTTAACCTTCATGTATTTCCACAAAAACATTTCCACACAACAACATAGTATTTTTCTTGATTATTTTGTCTACAGCCTACGAGAAAATCCCTCAAAATATTTGGGGCAATTTTCTTGGATATTTTGCTTAACATTTTGTAATTATCCTAATCTTGCTGTTTGCCCCCTTTTTAATATTTGTCACACAACTTGCTGCAACGATGATGGAGAAGGTCACTTAATTTCTTTCATTTTTCTTCGTTCCTCCTTAAATTGCCTTAATATGCTTTTGATTAAGGTAATTAAATAAATTTTCTTTTCATATTTTCTTTTTTCTTGCTCGTGGACAATTTATATATTTTTGTACTCATTTTCCGTTGCCGCCTTGGCTTGATGTTCATTTATGGTGTATCTGGAGGCCAGCAACGTTGTTATTTTGCCCCGCAACCCGCATCCATTACACATACACATACGCATTTGCCATAATAACTTTTAACATTTCAAGAGTTTAAAAATGTTCAGATCTTAAGTATCCGTTTTTGTTGGAAGTACTTCCTTGGCAAAGAAATGTTTTTTTTTACTCTCACTAGCCGTGTTTTTTTGTGCTTTCATTCGTTTTGTCTGTGGAAATTTTGCAAGTGTTGGTGATTATGTCGAGGGTGTAGAATTTGTCTGTCACTTCTAAGGACAACACACTACATACATACATACGGTTTTTCATTTTCCTTCCAGTTGCGAGCGTACTTGTACAAAGCATATCTGTCCATCCGTCTGCGAATGAGTATAGCTATTTCAGCCACGATTTGTTTGTGTGCGTGTTTCCGTATCCGACATTTTGGTAGTTGGCTTGCATGTGTCGGTAGAATTGTGTTAAATTTTTCTGTGTTATGATTTTTTTTTTTTCGTTCAGCTTGTCGCTGACGTACTTGTCGACTTGTTTTATAAATGTACTGATATTATATATGAATGCATGTACGAGTATATACGAATGTACGATGATATATCAGCATTTAGTATAATGGTGTTCAGTTGCTCTTCTCGCGTTTTGTAGTCTTTCATTCTTCTAGTCACGCTACCAGTCAGCCAAGCATCTAGCATAAGTGTTAAGGGATCACACAATTGTGTATTTTTTGAAATAAACATGAAGAACTTTTAGGCTTTACTTCCCTAATTTAAAAACGGAATGGATGAAAAAACTAATGTTTTTAATACGGCATGTTTATTTATTTATTAATTTAGGTGTTATCTTAAACAACCACTTGTTATTAAGCTTGAGGACTTTAAATGAAAATTGACTACATTGACTCTCAAATTTTAAAAAAAATAGGAAGGGAAATATGATATAATGTACTTTTAACTCATTCCTGTAGTTTAAAAATTTATACGAGTAAAGAAAGTAGAAACCAGTAAAGAAAGTCCTAAAGTCGGGCGCGGCCGATTTTAAGATACCCTGCACCACTTTACTAATTTAGTAGAGCTGCGCATAACAGTTAAAAGCTTTTTATGGAAGAATTCAATCATACACGCTATGATTATAATTATAATTTAAAATTCAAAGTAATAAATATGCCGAAGCATTTGTATCTTTTAAATTCGGACTTGTATTGCCCATTTGGTGCACATTTAAATTGAAATCGGATAAAGATATATATGGGAGCTATATCCAAATTTGAACCGATCTCCATAAAATTTAGTAAAGATATTTCTGAGCTGTATTTGATTTATTTCCCTGAATATCGTTGTTACGGAGTGCTGTGGGTAACAAATACAACAAATCGGATGAACAATATATATGGGAGCTGTTTAATTTAGAATTGCATAAAATATTGCTATTTATTGACCCCTGGTTTGGTCCTTAATTAGTCGTTAAAATGTACGCGCTACGGTTTATTGCAACCTTGTGCTAGCGCCTTTGACATTTTAACTACTAATTATTGTTACTTGTTTTGCCGCCTCCTTTAGACATCAAGGAGTATTTCGCTGTCATTCGGACAGACAACACCCGCAATATCGTTTGCAGCACATATCGTTGTGCATAGAAAGGCATATTGTTGCCAAAGGTAATATCGTTACCACTAACCAAACTAGGAATAAATAGTTCATTTATACTAAGAAAAACCCCTTGTGTTTTATCTTTTTTACATATCCTACGGTCCACTGCTCGACGCATTCGGCGTTTTACTCCCATCGGCGGAGCCCCTCTGAGCTAAACATTGGTCCAATCGAACCGGATATTCCAGCCCTCTTGAACGCATTTGGAACCCAAAAGATACAGTCCATTACTCCTGCATTACAAGGTACGTATAGTGCAGTGTTTAAAGTGAGCTCGCGTTAGTAAATTGTCGCGACAATAACAAAACATTCGGTTTTGTTCAGGTCCAAAGGTCGTTTTACAACGTCACTTTTTCCCTCTTGTTTTGTTTCCCGCCAATCGTCGGCTTCTATTTTGGATGCTTGCATTCGGCAGCATCATAATCAAAACAAAACAGAAAAAGAAAATTATTGCAAAAATCGTTTGCTAATATTCTTTTTGTTTTGGTTCATGTAAAACAACAAAACATTAAACATCTCGTTTCGTTGATACCAACAAACACGTCGTCGTTGTTATTTCTTAGTTTGGTGTGCTTTACTACGTAAAGCAAAGACCGCAATATTATTCTTTTTGTTTGGTCTGTCCGCTGTAATATTGCAAATTGTTGTTACATTTATTCTTTTCTCTTGTTGTAACAACAGTCACATTTCAAATCGCAAACAACAACAACACTGTTTAAACCCCCACCGCTGTTCGCTTGCTTTGTCGTCGTTCTCTGATCAGCACTTGTTGTTTGTGCTTTGTTAGATCAGTGAACGAACATAACAAACGAAAGAAGAATATTTTTGTTGATTCCTCTTTCTGTCGTGTCCGTTTAGGTTGAGTAGCTACACCACGTTGGTCGGTCACTTTTGTTAGTTACATTGTTTGTTATAGGACATCGGAAAGTTAAAACTAAAATAAAATAATATAGTTAATTTTATTTTTTGTTGTTGTTTTGGAAATTTAAAAATTAATACAACCCATAGACTGTAATTCTGGAAAATTAAATAAATAAAAATAAAATAGTTATTTTATTTATTTTTGTATTTTTCCCCAAATTGGTTCAGTGTTTTTTGCGATAATTATGGCCTTCGCTCCTCTACAAAATTTCATAAGAGACTCAGACGCTCTGATAGAATTTGGTGCACAAATCGGTGCAGTAGATGATGGTATAGATATTAGTTTTTTAGAGGAAAGGAAGAGCAAGTTAGAAAAACTATGGCAATCGGTAAATAAATCGTTGCGTATCTTAGAAAATTCGGAAAATGTAGCAAAAGAACATCTGCATTTGGCAGAAAATAAACACAACGCTTCTTTAAACATTTATTCAAGCACTATGGCCACAATTAATAGAAAAATTATCAAATATCGGTGCATAACAAGAAATTCGATTAAAATTGCGGATAAAAATCAAGAGCAATCGGCTCAATTACTTTTGGCTCCTGAATCGCAGGATAATATGGCGACAATTAATTCTTCTGGTTGTGATATCGTTCACAATATAGCATTGCCCCCAATTGATATTGAAATTTTTGAAGGAGATTTTTCTACTTGGCCTTCCTTTCGGGATTTGTTTAGCGCCATTTATATAAATAACTCTCGCTTGAGTGATGTGCAGCGCCTGTATTACTTGCTGCAAAAGACTGCTGGTGATGCAAGGGAAATAGTTTCGCAATTTCCTTTAACAAATCGTGGATTCGTTTTCGCTTGGAAAGCATTAAATGATGAGTACGACAATATTCGAATTTTGGTACATCATCAGTTGTCGTCGCTATTTTGTCTTCCGGTTCTCGACAAGGAAACAATCTCTGGTTTGAAAGAGATTAGATGTGGAATTAATCGTTGTATCTCCTCAATGTCGACCTATAACGTTCCCACAGATCAATGGGATCCGATACTGGTATATCTTTGCCTTCAACGTTTACCGAAAGAAACGCAAATGATGTGGGAACAAGGTATTAAAAACAAAGCGGCTCTTTCTTCGTGGAAAGATTTAGACACCTTCCTTTCAGAAAGGATAAACACGCTTGTGTGTTTGAAAAGTTATCAAGAGAAATCGATTCCTTCGCCTAGTTCAGATTCGTTAATTACTGCTAGGAATTCCCATTCCAAATGTTCATCTTCCCCTTCAATTGGAAAAACGTGTTCTCTTTGTAGTCAGAAAATCCATCGGCTTCATTTGTGTTCAAAGTTTAAGAATTTATCCCCCGCAAATAGGTTTGCATTCGTAAAGCGCAACGACCATTGCATAAATTGTTTGGTAAAGGGACATAAACTAGTAAATTGTACTAGTAAAAATAGTTGTTTGAAATGTGGTCAACGTCATCACATGTTATTACATCGCGAGTCAGTAAAACCGAATAGTTCGATTCCGGTTTTGACTCCAAAAGCTCAGGCAAAATCGTTGTTGTCAGCTGCAGCCCCAGCTTTTCGTCCCTCAAAATGTACATTCTCCACATCGGTTGAGGTCCAAAATAAAAAATCGGAAATGGTTCGTTTAAAATCACTTCACCAAATGTCGAAAGGGGACTTAATTAAATTTATAAGAACAAATTTATTCAATGGAAATAATAAAAAGAAGTTTAAATTTGAAAACAATGTTGTAAAGCGACCTTCGCGTAAAATCGGTCTCACGACAGCTGGCGGTTTATATACCGGCATTGGCACAGGGTCTCAATTGGAACCCCCCTCGAATATCGTTTCGAGAAACACATAGCTCGATTGAAGTCCGAATCTGTAACTGCAGGTTCATTTGCGGCTTCAAAGTACCACATTTCGTGAATAAATATAGCTTGATTGAAGTCCGAATCTGTTACTGCAGATTCATCTGCGGCTTCATATTATCGTTGTAGCGGAGATGGATCCCGAATCTGTTACTGCCGATTCATCTGCGTTTCCATTCCCTACATTTAGTTCGAGAAAAAAAAGCTCACACTGCACTATACAACCCGTACCTACTACTGGATCTTATATAGATTAAGTTAATTGTGTTGAAACATGCTTTGATGTTTCAAGGGGGTCGGCATGTTTAATTTAGAATTGCATAAAATATTGCTATTTATTGACCCCTGGTTTGGTCCTTAATTAGTCGTTAAAATGTACGCGCTACGGTTTATTGCAACCTTGTGCTAGCGCCTTTGACATTTTAACTACTAATTATTTGTTACTTGTTTTGCCGCCTCCTTTAGACATCAAGGAGTATTTCGCTGTCATTCGGACAGACAACACCCGCAATATCGTTTGCAGCACATATCGTTGTGCATAGAAAGGCATATTGTTGCCAAAGGTAATATCGTTACCACTAACCAAACTAGGAATAAATAGTTCATTTATACTAAGAAAAACCCCTTGTGTTTTATCTTTTTTACATATCCTACGGTCCACTGCTCGACGCATTCGGCGTTTTACTCCCATCGGCGGAGCCCCTCTGAGCTAAACAGGAGCTATATCTGAACCGATCTTTACCAAATTTTGCATACTACCTTCTAAACTCAATTCGGTCGTATGTACCAAATTCCATCGCATTTGGGCAAATATTAAACGTTTGGTGCACAATAAAAAGTAAATCGGACAAAATTATATGTATGGGAGCTATATCCAAATCTGAACCGATCCCGATAAAATTTAGCAAAGGCATTTCTGAGCTGTATTTGATATATTTCCCCAAATGTTGTTGTTACAGAGTGCATATTACGGCTGCGGAGGACAAAAATAACAAATCGGATGAACAATATATATGGGAGCTATAGCTATATCTGAACCGATTTCGATCAAATTTGGCACACTTATTTTCATGCCTAATTTGGTTGTATGTGCAAAATTCCATACTATTCGGGCCGATATTACACGTTTGGTGCACAATAAAAGGCAAATCGGACGAAGATATATATGGGAGCTATATCTAAATTTTTACCGATTACCTCCAATTTCAATAGGGTTCGTCCTTGGGCCAAACAAATGTTGTTTGGAAAATTTCATCTCAATCGGATAATAAATGCGACCTGCATTCTGTTCACAAGGATACATGGACAGACGGACGGACAGACGGACTGACATGCATAAATCAACTCAGAAAGTGATTCTTTGCAGATCATCAAAAGGAACTATGGGTCTATTTCGTTTCCTTTTGCCTGTTACAAACAAATGCACAAAGACATAATACCCTGACCACCTTGTGGTGTAGGGTATAAAAAGATTCATAGGGCGTGATATATCATAATCTACATCGCTCCTCGTAACAAAAATATATTTGCTTGGTAATTTTTATACCAATCCATTTGTAACGTGGTTTTCTCGCCGGCTGAGGTAAGCTCAGCTGTACCCAGTACCAATAAGGACCCACTAAACCTTATGAAATAAGAAACAGCGAGCCGAAGCGCCTGTGGAATAGCGAGTCGAAACTTCTGTGGAACAGCGAGCCGAAACTCCTGTGGAACAGCGAGCCGAAGCCCCTGTGTAACAGCGAGCCGAAGCCCCTGTGTAACAGCGAGCCGAAACTCCTGTGTGAATGAATTACCGGCCACGCAACTTAATGAGAGCCAGTCTTGGAAAAAGTATTACCGCCTAACGCTTTGTTAGTCGGAGGCCGGCAGGTGATTTATAAAATCACTAGCTACCCTATTGCAAGCCCCCTGCAGTAGCAATCCCCACCTTTTCACACCGCAAACCGAACACTACATGTGGCCGGTCGTACCAAGTCATTGCGAATTCTTTGCCTTACGTTGTGAACGGCATACCACCGATATCTAATTTGTCTACTACGCGCCCAGCGAATGGCGTTCTTGTTGGTTTGTGCTGCTGTCGCCTTGTGGGCTGCCTATGACCGTGTTGTGTGAACATTCTGGTGGTGGTTGGTTGGTGCAGTTAGCGTCGCACTACTTTTATTCATGCATTGGCCGTTGTTGTTGTGTTGTTGGATCGCACTAATGTACGTGATGAAATCATCGCGTTACACATTTAAGTTGGATATACCAACACAGTATTTGACATCACCGACCAAGTAAACAGTAATTCGCTAAAATATAGAAGCGGCTGAACCATATATATACAGGGTGAGATGAAAAAACTTCAACCATATTCAGACTGTTTACAAGTGTACAAAAACATTTTGGTGAGAATTTTTCAGAAAAAAGTTATTCGTGATGGAATTCAAGCGTGATAGTGTGATTTCTTTATATTTGGCTGAAAAACCACAAATGGCTATAGAGCACTTCAGCATTTAAATGAGAATAAATCCTTTGTGTCTCGTGCCATCGCTCGTTGCCGTGATACTGGTAGCGTAGCCCGACCTCAAGGAAGTGGGCGGAAGAAAACAACAACATCAGCAGAAATGGTTCGAAAAGTAAAGACGCGACTTGATCGAAACTCGCGTCGCAGTGGCCGAAAAATGGCTTGAGAGCTGAACAATATTCCATTCGGAAAATATTGAAAAATGTGCTCGGTGTAAAGCCATTGAAATTCCAAAAAGTGCAAGAACTTACACCGCAACAGAAATATAATAGACTCAAAAGAGCTAAAGAGTTGCTTCGCTTGGCCGAAGGATGTTGAACTGCCGAATTTGGTTTTCTCCGACGAGAAAACATTCGTTGTCCAGCAGTTTGTAAACAATCAAAATTATCGTGGTCAGCTGGAAATGTGCACCTTCGGTTGTCCACCAGAACTTAAGCGCCGGCCATGGTGATGGTGTGGGCCGTCATAATAGCCGATGGCCGCTCTCCGCTCGTATTCATCGTGGCATCAGAATAAATGCCTATTATTATCGCGAAAATATTCTGGAGAGTGTATTAAGTTCTTGGGCACGGAAACATTTTGGCCGCAGACCTTGGACATTCCAACAGGACTCAGCTCGCGCCAATCAAGAATGGTTACAAAACAATTTTCCTCACTTCATTTCCAGCTCATAATCTCCGGATACCAATCCATTAGGCTATTGTGTCTGGAGTATTTTGAAAGGCAAGGTTGACACTAAAAAATACCAAAGTGTCGATCACCAAGCAAATCACCGGAAATGGACCAAAATACTGCTGAGCATCATTCGGACGTGTAACGGTTTCATTGGCCGTGTGAAGGCCATAATTGGTGCCAAAGGTGACCAATTCGAACAAGTCTAAACTAATTCTAAAATTTCATGCTATTTTCGATTTTTTTTTGCTTTCATTCAATATAATTTAAAAACAAGTAAAAGTTATAGTCGTTCAGGGCCGTCCATGTGATACCCTACAACACTACAAAATGTTAGAAGCCCCCTTATGTCCACATCCATTTTGGAAGATTTCGTTTTAGAATTATGTCACGAAGCACTGCCCAGATATTACCCCTAGCATTTAGACCAGGGACATTTTCCCAATATTTAGGCACTCTATCGTGGTTTTAGTTCTTATGCCCCATATTACAGCTAAATATTATCCAATGGTCATCCAAATTGCTTCATTTGTGTGATCAGAAATATTTTTCTGTTTTTGGTTCATTTTTTCACACAAAAGTGGTGGTCAATTCTACCAGTTGTCCTAAACTCCAACTTCATGCGAGATTTCGTGTCCATTGGTTTTTTTGTGACCTTTATAACGACTGCAAAATCAGGAACATTTTTACGGACATATTTAAAAAAACAATAGGCGTAGCCCTTCTGAGCCTAACCCTACCCTTGTGTAAATTTTGCAATTTGTATATAATAAACCCAACCTGTGTTGTAAGGTGAAAAATCTTACAAAATATACACTTCAATATTCTAAGTCAAATTGAAAAAATAGCATGCGATAAAAAATATCAAAAAATAAAAAAATGTCACAAAATACTGCAAAATTTATTTTAACATTATTATTGGCATCATTTTATGTGATTTTTTTAGATTTTGATCCTTTATACCAAGAGGACATTCTGAATTGACAAATTTTGGTCAAAATCGGCCCAGCTATTCTTAGGATATAAGCCTTCTAGCTAACATCCCCATCCTTTGTGTATATACATTGTATATATTTCGCTTTATATATCCGATATATTAACTATCGGCATCAACGTAATGGTCAGAATTGACCTGTTCGTCTATTTGTGATTTTGCCGGGATTAAAAATATTTGCGGTTGAATGGAAAATGTTACTTTTATTTAACACAAATGTTATGGTCTATTCCACCCGATAAATATTACCCGATGACCATCAAAATTGGAAGGCTTCTGTCCAGCGGTTTTAGTTTTTCTTTACACAAGATCTTGTGTAGGTTAAAATTGAGATATTTTATGAGCTAAAGTAAATGGTCTTTCGACCTGATGTGGAAACGGTGGAGACGGTAATAATATTGGGACGTGCGATGAAGACAATTGGAATTTTATTTGACATTTTTCAATATATATGATTATGGAAGTACCCGAATTCGATCCATGTGAAAAGTTTAATTATGAACAAGGTGCTTAGTCCAGATTTGGTTAAAAATCGGTGCTAAAAACCGCCAAATGGGGGCTATAGTAGATCTACATTGATATTTTTCTTTTGTGAGGAGTTAAGTTACCCAATGGGAACCCGCAATATGAAAGAATTGAAAACATAACATTTGAAACATTAACAAGTAAAAAAGCAGTAATTTCGGCCGGGCCGAACTTTGAATACCCTCCACCATTTGGAACGAATTAGAAAATTTTCAAAAAAAATTAAATCCATTAAATTTTATTTTAAATCGTTACAATATCTAATATAGGAAGGTGCCGATATATGGGGGTATATATGATATTGTGGACCTATTAAGACAAATCTATGTTTGGGTGTAAAGTTTTAGGTTTTAAGTTTTTTAAGTTTTTTCCTTGTGATAATTGGATAATTCCATTGGAAAATGTGGCTAAAATCATAAAAATCCCGAATATCGGGGAGTACCGTTATATGGTATGATATTGTGGACCTATATGGACAATTCCTTTTCAGTGGTAAAGTGCTCACAAAGAACTCCTTGTGTGGATTTTCAGACAATACGATTTGAAAATGTGGCCAAAATCATCAAAATACCGAATATCGGGGGTACCGTTATATGGGTGCTATACGATATCATTAACCTATATACAGAATTCTCTGTCTGGGGGTAAAGTGCTCACAAAAAACCCCTTGTGTACAATTTCCGTTGAAAAATGTGGCTAAAATCATCAAAATACCGAATATCGAGGGTACCGTTATATGGGGGCTATACGATATCGTGTACCTATATAGATAATTCGCTGCTGAGATATAAAGTACCCACAAGGAACTCCTTGTGTGGATTTTCATACAATTCCGTTGAAAAATGTGGGTAAAATCATCAA